GTTCGACACAAATTTTATAATGAAATTCGTTGAAATTGGTTGCAAAATACCAATAAATAAAGGATATAGAARTACATCTCAGCAGGTGAAGAGTAAAGCACGTGCTTTAAGGGGTTATACACAGTTAAAATTAAAAAAAAATCGAATGTTTTAATTTCATTTTCTTAATTAATATATATTTGAAACTACGCGTAGAAAATTTCATATCGTTCATTGGATATTTTTTGCGCGCAAATTTGAGAAGTCAGTTAGAGTGCTTGGAACTGCATTACAAACTTTGAACATTCAAAGTCGGTGACCAACATTACTCTCAAATTTTAACCCGAGCATCTTAAAGATATTTTTTTAGTAATTAATCGAATATTTTGTTTCACTGTGACAAATTTTTTTTTTATAAACAATTTTATAAACAAATTAAGGCCAAAAATCGATTTTTTTAGAAACCGGAATTTTGTCAAAAAAAATTATTTGGCTTATTTCTTCGATTAGTTACTAGATTTAATATTATTTTAACGAAATCTGTTTGGTTTTTTAATTTCAGATCATCCAGTTCAGAGATATAGCGGTCGCCCCAAAATGTCTTTTTTAAGAGAAGCTCCCGGAGATCAGCTGCAGTTTATTTCTAAATAAAGATTAAAAAAAAGTTCTGGAAAACTCGATTTTTCGGCCGTCTAACTGTATGTAACCCCTTAAATGTATTATACGAATATTTCACAAACGATTTTTGGTCATATGAGTATTAGTTTCCAAAGGAACTATAGGAACTGGAATTTATCTATCATCCATATTCAAAGTGGGTTTCTTAGAACATTACAAATGTGATAAAAGTGATCCCGATATAATTGTATTGCTACCATTTCATAAAATCGGTCATCTAGGTCCAAGATCTCAGGACGCAGCTCATTATGTATAGCATAGAATTGCTTCTCAAATATTGATTTTGAACTTTTTTATATGAAAAATTTATTTAGTATATTTTTGAATTGTTGAAAAAGGCTGTTTTTACCTCGTGAAACCCATGTAACCCATTAAAAGTCTGAGTTTAGGAATTTATTTAATTAAACATTTTAAAACACTTCTGTTATTATATACAAGGCGATCGGCYAAAAATGAATCTCCCTCAAAAATATAAAATTTTTACGAAAATTATATGTCAACCAATTCTCTGCTGCCTGTAAACAAAATCACTAATTTGTGATGAAATTATAAAAATTATTTAATTTCAAGGTAAACATTACTTGTATTATTTCATTATCATAAATGAAAAAAACTGAATTTGTGGAATTATTTTACTCTCCAAAGAAGAAGTACCTTTTTTATAACTCTGCTTGACTAAAGTCAAACTTCTACTACCTCCCACATATGAGCATAACTAACGATCACTTCAGCTTTATCGCGCCTTTACAACTTAATTGCTGTATTCTCCATAACCAAACCATAAAATTGCAAATTACACAAATACACACACATATACTAATTGTTGGTATTGTGCACATTTTCCTACTCCCTTACGTGTCTTAACGTATAATTTCCATAAAAAAGTTCAACTATAATGGCATTCAATAATTCTCTTTATTGCAACACTTAACAGCTGTTAAAAACCGTAAGCATATACGTATGAAAAACACAAAAACCTTGCAAAGCGTACTGAAGTAGAGGAAAAAAGTTCCGCATTGCGCATAAAATTCATTATAATTGCGAAAATTTGCGTAAAGTTGTAATGCACAGTGTACGGTAGCCTGAATGTATGCTACGCTTTTTTGTGCTTGTAATAAAACGAATGTTAAGTGAAAGCACGAATAGTCCAAAGTATGCATGAATAATTGCTATATTGACGATGTGGAAACGTAAAAAATTTAACAACACTCTTACCGTTAAAGTAGGGAAATTGTAAAGTCGAGTTTAGCGAACTTTCACCAGCGGGGCTGCGCAGCAAATTGAAATAAAATTTAATGGTCATGTACGTTATGTGAAATGGGTAACACTGGCTGGCAACACACTAATGGAAAACCACTGTCTTGTGTTTATCAAATTTATTGCCCGCCCGTTTTTCTGTATTTCCGTGTTCCCTTTTTTGTTTTTTTTTTGTCTCTCAAATAGCGCTTAACTTTAAGCTAACAGCGCAGGTCAAGTGTACGAAAGACACTCTAAATTTTAAAAGCACACAACAACAAAAAGTAAATGGTAAACAGAAAGGATACTGAGTGTATGGCAGCGAACAGCATTAAAATTATTGGTTAGCTTTCRCTGGCGGCTAAGTGCTTTTACAGCTTAGCAAAATCGAGTCAAGCATGCTGTGTGTTTATAGTGTATACCGTTTGATGTGATGTATGGCTTGGTATGTATAAAAAGCTAATAAATTTTCAAATTAAGGAAGTGTTAATAGTGAAGGGATTAGGAATTTGGAAACTTTTTTGCGCCAATGGAGTTTGAGTTTACATGATTAATTTACAATTAAATTGAGAAGTAATGATATTGGAGCAAGACAGACGGCTGAAACTTTCCGGACTTGTCTGGAATTAGTATGARGACCCAGACCAAATCATATTTGCGCTAATTTAGAGCATAATAATAATTTTTTGAAATATGATGATATCTCGACATACTTTTTGTACAAACTATTCATCTTCGAATTATACACAAATTCGACTGTGAGTTACAAATTGGATAGTCGCGTTTCTAATCAAACTTCAACTTATTTTTTTTTTTTAATGAACTTTAATGTACCAAATATGTACCATTTTCGACCACTTTTTGCCATTTTTCCGCTAGAGACTTTATTCAATCAGTGTAAAATTTTCGTTAGTGTAAATCAATCGAAATATCAAATTTTACAGAACGGAAGCGATCGAACCATTGTTTTGCTACACGAACTGATACAGTATAGATAGCCATTTACTTTTGAGCACATACTATCGATTCCATTACCCGACATCATTATCGTGCAAAATTGTAACCCTTTATTTTAATTGCTTCTTGATTTGTTCACATGGAATTGAATTTAAAATTGTGTTATATGGGACTGTTAAGTACAATCACCCCAAATATCAGAAAAAATTTAAATTAAGAAAATTATGAATAAAGATAAATTGAAAAATAAATTATAATTCCCGTATATAACAGCTGTCGTTCTCAAGGTGTTGCTCCTTTGAAGTTTTTTTTTATTTATATGTCAACGCAATTGTAAAATTTATTTAAACTCTTCAAAACTTTAAGCTTCCTCTTTTCTTTTTTCCAATTTGCCTTTGAGCTCTTGCAACCTAAATATATTCATGTGAACTCTGAACTCTTGTTGCTTTACTCACATTTTTATTGCTCAAATTTGTTTGCCAGTATCCCAGAAAAAAAAATTAAAAAATCAGCCACTTTCGAACATCCAGAACTACACAAACTTACCAAGTATAAGCATATGAAATTCGAGCTTTCGGTCTGTGAAAGTTTTCACTACTATCTGCAACTTTCTTCATTGAAATGCAACAGAAACTTTTGCGTTAATTCTCTTAAAAGCACATTGCCATATTTTGTTACTTGTTTTTAAGAAGTATACGTTTTAATGAAAAATTTCTCACAAAGCTTGTGTCTATCAATGTCACAAATGTAGGCAACTTTTGCCAATAAGTTGCACAGAAGACAACTTTCCAAAGAATTAAAAATATTTCTTAGATATTAAAAGATTAACAAACGAAAGACACATTGCAAAAGTATATGCCAGATGATAGAATAAATGAAATAAATAATTTTGTATTTAATTATATATATTTAAGCAATACACTTTCTATCTTTTTCATTTCTTGATAGGAACATATGTGAATTTCTACCCTTAAATGAATGTAATTAATCAGCTTAGCTTGTTACATTCATATTTTATGTATTTACTTCAGCAATGCTTAAGTAATAAAAGGCAGACGGCCACGACTTTAGTTAGAAGCGTTCATTTCATTCATAGATTTAGTTACCTAACATGAATAAAACGTTGCCTACATACTGGCGCAACTGAAATATATACAGTTATACTTTAGCAAAGTTGCGCACCAAATAAGGACAGGATTTCTGATTACTGCTGTTTGAAGTTTACAGCCTCTTGTTTTTTTAGATGCTATGAACATTACATATGAAAAATATTATATGACAACACTACTTACATATGTATGATAATACCACGAGGACAAATCTGAGCCTTTATGCTATACTACGAAGGATGTGCTTGGGTCGAAATAAGCTAGCTTAGAATTCATTTAGAATTTAGAATTTCTTAACTAATTGTTAATAAATATATTTTATACGCTTTATTATTATCTTTTCACTTCTATGCATACATAATTACTTTTCAAGCAAAGTTTAATAAAAACTAACTATARTATGTTTTAGAAAAATTAATATAAACGTAAGATGTTGGCAGTTTAAATAAAATTGTGCCCATAAACTATTTGTCTAATTTTCCGATGCATGCTTGCAGCAATGCACTCAAACTTAAATGGTATGATTGCAAACAGAAATTAAAASAAAAATATTGCACTAATATTGAAATCATTAAATGATAGCAAAACGATATTTAAAATATTTACTTAGGTAATTAAGCTTAGTCATGTAATGTGTTTAGACAATCACAGTCAATTACTTACAACAAACTCTTTGCTATGTCCTCAAATAGCTTTTATATAATTAAATTTACACAAAATCCATTTCTCTGATTATCGAAACGATTTCATGCAACATTTGCACTGCTGCTTTTCTAAAAAATACCTCACTCCTTTTCTCTATTTGTGTATGTGTACGTATACACAATACTTACGTACATAGTATGGGTATGCCTAAGAATTTAATTTTGACTTCCATTTTCTTATTTTATCTTTATTCGTACTTCAAATCTTCTTCTATATACATACATATATGTAAACGTGTGTGTATGTGTATTAACGATAGTAATTGAAATCAGAAGGGTTCGGTGGCTTCGAAGGGACGCAAGTAAACGCAAATGTATATTTAAGTCCAGCACTTACCTTGAAAACCTGGCGACAGAGGAAATTCTCTTTTACCGGAAGCAATCTGTAATGAGCGAAAATAAACAAGTCAAATAGGAAGATAAAAGGAAGCATATAAGAGGTTAGTGATTCACTAGAACACAGGCAAATAAACAAAAAGTAGCAAGTTGAATATATCTCGGCTTTAAGAAGAACCGGAAATGTGTGGAAAGGGGTCAAGTGCTGTGGAAGGTGTGAGTGCTTGTGAATTTGTGAGAAGGAAATTAGATTGGTGAGATGGTTTGCGATATCATATTTCACTTAGATATGCAGAAAGAGTATGAAATATTCAGTGGAGATGKAAAACAGAAAAGGATGGAATTAGCTGGAAAGTAAGAGTTGATGGGAAAGTCATGCGAGGTATATATTGTAGTCTGAAATCTAAGAAAGTGCAGTTGTGTGATTTTAACCATCATTTTTTAAACAAGCTAAGTTCGGGTGTAATCGAACATTTTATACTCTTGCARCTTGCGCAGATCACAGCCAGCGAAATACCTTCAGATGTTGGCAATATTGGAAAATGCAGCGAAAGCGATCAATTTTACTGCTCATGATTGGTTTAAAATCAGAGCGAAATTCGTTTATTAAGTATTAACTATTTTAGCCAATACCCCATACGACTAACATGTCACATATGTACTTATAAAATTCTCTCTGGGTTTCATTGAGGTACAGGTACCTCAAATACCACCACCAATATATGTGT